TCAATCATTGTGCAAATTTGGATGCCCAGAAAAAAAAATACATTCACGACTTACGAGTTGGGTGCCTAACATAAATTTGATGTTTTTGTACACAAATCATATGAAGTCCGCGAAATTCTCAAGTAGAACAAAATTCAAGAATCTAAACATTTAAAAATAACTTATTTATATGGTATTCAGAGTTCAAAGATAAATAGTAAGGAGGGTAGCGCTTGTATAGTAGAAATATCATGATTAATTCAAAGTTATTCGAAGACGATGTGAGACTATGTAATGAACTCAGCGAGCTGTGCGAAAACGCAGGGGAAAAACGTAATTTCACTTGCTGAGAATGTCAAGTGTTCAAAGGAGCGGCAGAGGGAAAAAAAGCTTCAAAAGCAAAGCTTGCCAGGCCAAGGAGGTGAAGAGAGGGGTAGGGGAAGGTAGGTAGGGAAAGTAAAGAAGTGTTCAAGGATAAACTATCAAAACTACTCGATTTCGAAACACCTTCGCTTTCGTTATATATAAATTCTCAAAATGAGATTTTTCCTTATTTTGCTGTTCGATAATCTATTTCCTGAATTAACTTCCTTACTATGAAGATGGCTAGAAAAGAATTTCGATTAGTCCTTCGTTCTACAAGAAAACATGATCTGTTTCCTTAGGTGCTTAGAATCGTTAGGGAGAGGATTCTATGAAGGTTTCAATCACAAATCTTTCTGTGAAAAAAGTCTTTTTTGATGACTACGTGACCACACAAAGCAAAATACGTGAAATTTTTGACTCGCTTAAAGCTTTGTTTGAAACTTTACATTATCAGATCGCATCTCAGGGAGATTTCCAAAGGATTCAGGATGTCAAAAAAATTTACAAAAAAAAGTTTATGGGCAGGCAAGAAGTACACGAGTTCAGCTATAAGCCTATTATGTAGCCAAAAGCATGGGCTCATGGCTATCCTTTTCACGTTCGTTTTTATCACAGCAACTTTTATTAGCGGAGAAAAATCTCGTCAAAAGTGAAAGTATTTTTTGCAATGACCAACTAGATTTGATCTCAGTCATAAATTACCTTTCGCGTGCAACTTTGATCTTTAGCTGAAGTTAAAATAAGACTGATGGCAGCGGTTGACAATTTTTCTGAGCTCACTGGCAACCCGCTGGGTTTGTTGATAATTTTATTCAAAAATCGAACCGTATTTTTTAGCCAACCAAAAAGTTTCCTAACAAAAAATAGTTGTAAAAACTTCAACTGCAGGCTCGGGATATTAGATCTAAAACTACATTCATAGAAACACAGGGTATCTTAAAGACTTTATAGTGAATTATCCTCATAGATATTGCTATTCTAGGATTTATGGTTATCGGAGCAGATAGTGTATTTAATCGGCAGTGTATGTTGCTTTAGGAGCTGAGCAATTGGCACGATTTTATGGGTTTTATGCACGCGACTCGTGGCACAAACAATCGCACTCTTCCCTATGTAGGGAGGAAACAAAGTGAATGAAAATGACAGATTTAAGAGCAGATCTCTGCTATTGGTAGTGTGAATCGGTGTTTGTCTGCCTTACCTCCCATCTAAATTGGAAAAGGCTTATTTAAGCTAATTTTTACAGCGATTAGTTATAAACAGTCAGCTACATTGCTGAGACCCTTTCTTGGCAGCAGATCCGCAAAGTTGTCAGAAAAAACTTATTAATGTTTCTAAAAGTGAAAGAGGGTGAGCAGCATGGGACGTGGCGTTGAACGCGCCTATTCAGCCGGCTCATTCGCTTAGCTTAAATTAGCCATGAAATGTGCCCTTTTTCAACGTTCTTCTGGGGAAGCTCTTAGAAATATTATGAGTTTTCATCTGTAACATGCTTACCTATTTATGAAAAATTGCAAGTTCATAAATTTTATATCAAAATATTGACGATGAATAACAAAATATTACATAAATTAATAGATATGTGGTTAGAGTAAGCTCGTTAAGCCATGCATATTCTTACGTAATCATTTTTTTCAATGGAAGATTCAATGTACAAGATGCAGAGGATGGGCTAGCTTATTGAACTAATGGAAATAAGATATCGCAAGTATTATGTGATGATTTTTCTCATATTCAACTATTTTTATATTAGAAATGTACATACATACCTCTTTATATTATGGAATTGAACATTTAGAAAAAATTGAGGGTAAAAGCCTACAATCCCGTGAATTATGCACGTCCTCGAGGATTGCGATCCTATGAACATGTTGTTCCAAAACTCTATTCTACGATACGACTGTTCAATCTACCGCATGTACCGAAATGTATTAAAAACGAAATTATTCAAAGTATTCCAGAACATTTCAAATTTTGGTCTTTTGAAATTGGTAAGTTAGGGGCCCACCGTAGACACCTTTCATATAACTGCATAAGCTTAGACTTAGTGTTTTTAGGCTTTAGGCTCGGGCCTAGGCTTGCGTTTGGGCTCAGGCTTAGGCTTAAGTAGACTTACGCTCAGCTACTGAATAGCGCTTAACTGAAGGAAGCAGGTCTAATTAGAGCCTCTCTATTCTCAACTGAGCGGAAGCATAAACCAGCTGCTTCGAATACTTATCAAGTAGTTCGTGTCCACTTGCGCTTCTTAACAAAAACTTAAGAAGTTAGTCGGCTTAAAGAGTATAAAATTAGCCGATAATGTTGAATGTAACAGTTGGGATGAAGGTTCTATCGCAATTTGTGCTCGTCTGTGTGGCAAGTATGGCTTCAAGGTAAATTCTAAGGTTATGGTTGTTTTATTATATAAATTTTCGCTTATAATATTTATTCCTGACAAATTAATTGCTTTCGTCAGATATGTAAGACTTCCTTACAGCCTATTTTGTTTAGATCGTCCACAGAATACATTTACACATTCGTGCCCGGTAAGAATTCAACTTTGGCAATCTCTACTGTTCAATGCATGAAATTATTTAATTATTAACATATTTTAGAATATGTGGCTGCACAATCCCTTCCGGAATGGCAAATTCCCCAGAAT